AATTCCCTTGCCTTTGGGGATGTGTCGAGTAAGAGATTGCTACGGCTGAGGTCAGAGAGGTCTTTTCCTGCTTTCTCCTCTAAGGTTGTGATGGTTTCCTGTCTCACATTCAGGTCCTTTATCTATTTTGAGTTTATTTTTGTGAATGGTGTGAGAAAGTGGTCTAGTTTCAACCTTCTGCATGTTGCTGTCCAGTTCTCCCAGCACCATTTGTTAAAGAGACTGTCTTTTTTCCATTGGATGTTCTTTCCTGCTTTGGCAAAGATGAGTTGGCCATATGTTTGTGGGTCTAGTTCTGGGGTTTCTATTCTATTCCATTGGTCTATGTGTCTGTTTTTGTGCCAGGATTTATCTTTTAAAAAGCTGGTAAATATAAACATTTCTGTCAGTGCTTTTTGAAAACCTGTACTGCTTTTCTATTCCTTTTTGAAAACCTCTACTTTTTGTGGAAGCTTTTTCTGCCTCTGATTTCTCTTCTCAATTGTCCTTATTTGCTCCTTCTTTTCTTCCCACAATAACAACGTAGAAAAGATGATTTAATACCTTTTAAAAGTGTTTTATGGTTGCATGAATTGTAGTCTATTATGTTAGAGTCACTTATCACTGTATTCCAAAAGCAACTATCATCACAACTTCTTAACACTTTAACTCCATACAATTAAAAAATTGTAACAGTATGAAGCGATTCAAAGGATAGTTCTTACTACTTGTTTGATGAAATGACAAAAGGAGAAAATATGTTGAAGAGAGAGACAGGAAAATCCAATTGAGAACATTTATGTCTTATTAAGGGGAGGGGAAGCCCACCCACTTTTCCTTTTTGATACTGCTATGTACAAGATCTAAATAGAATTCAGTAAAGATCTAAAATTATTTGCATTTTGGAACGATATTGGAGAAGTGGCCATAGCTGTATCATTGGTAACGTTTTGTAAGGAAATGAAGCATGGATTTCACTTTATGAATAACAGCCTGTAAAGGATAGGAGAACAGGAAAGGAAACACCTCGATTTCAGAGAATCAAAAGCTCCACAGGAGTCTTAAAACAACTTTGCTGCAGTGATCTAACCACTTCATGCTGTGCGGAAAGGTCCATGCCTTTTCCCTGGAATGTACCTTGCCTAGACATTTTGCTTATCGTGAAATCTAGTAGTGGGTTTAGGGGCACTTGACATGTGGGGGAAGAGGAATCTTGAGCTACAGTGCAGGACATGGAGCTGTAATTACTGGGCCATCAAAGCCCATAGATGAGGGAAGAAAATGTAGTATTAAAGAGTGCAAACCCTTGCTGTTCTCTCATATTCTGTAATGACTGTCTTGAGTCTTACGGGAACGTTTCCTATCAATTTTTTTTGCCAGGGATGGGGCAGGACAATCTTGAAACTAGGGAAAGGAGACAGAGAAAACTGAGTCTGTTCCTAGACAGTGAAGCAAGTGCGGTAAAATGAGGCGTCAGTCCACCACCTGCAAACCAAATCCCTTAGCCTACTTTCCAAAGCGATTCATCACAGGCTCACCGCGCCTGCTAGTGTTTAGGATTAGGGTTAGCAACTTGCAACTCTGATCTGAGTGCGGTTTTGAAAGCTGGTTCCTTTGTGCGCTGAGTGTTGGAGAATTTACACCAAGCGCTCTAGGTGGGCTGAACTCACTGCAGTCTTTCTCCTGGAAGCTGGGTGAAGCTATCTAAGACCCACAGAGTTTAGGAGCAATGTGCAAATGGAATTGGAGCTGCCACCACCCTTTCAGGAATTGAATCCAGGTGCAGGGTGGTTTAGGGTTGCGGAGAGGCATGTTTTGGACTCGCGCTTTGTGTTCCCACATCAACGTTGGTGGGGCATGGAGGGGGAGGGGCTTATATCCCAGGCCACTTTGAGAGCTCTGCGTGATAATTGGACGTTCTCTCCTCTGCCTGCTAGGCTGGAAGCAAAGGAACCACACCGCCCCCTTCTCGAGCTCCATCCTCCTCTACCAGGGAATCCTGAAAGGCCTCAGGTAGTTGGGAGGCCGGCCAGAGAGTCTCCACCTCCTCGCGGGCAGCAGCCATTGGGCGCGCTCAGGAGCCGAGGCGGGTGGGGTCCATTGGCTGGGGGACGCTGCCAGTCTAGTAAGAAGGGGTGTTGGGGGTGGGTTCTCCGAACGCGGCGCGTCCGGGCTACTAGCCATTTGCTGCGTAGTGGGTGAGCGTGAACGTGAGTGTGAGCCGGGCTACCATAGACTTGAAAACAGTTTGGAGAGAGCAAAGCGCGCCAGAGTGTGGGAGCGAGTGCGAGGAGACCTAGAGGAGACAGGGCGAGAAAACAGGGCCCAAAAACCTACGATTTGAGACTGAATGACCATGGCTGTCTCCGTACCTCCGGTGATCTCTGCAACTTCCAGCGGTGCCGGCGTCCCGGGGGGCTTATTTCGGGCAGAAACCTTGTACTCGACTCCTGGGGAGCCTCCTCGTCTCACCCCTAATATGATCAACAGTTTCATGGCTAATAACCACAGCAGCAGCGCCAGGGGTGGCGGAGTTGGTGGAGCCACCGGAGGCAGTGGCAACACCAACACCGAGTGCAGGATGGTGGACATGCATGGGGTGAAGGTGGCCTCGTTCCTGATGGATGGTCAGGAACTGATTTGCCTGCCGCAAGTCTTTGATCTCTTCCTTAAGCACCTGGTGGGAGGGTTGCACACGGTGTACACCAAGCTGAAGAGACTGGACATATCCCCCGTGGTATGTACTGTGGAGCAGGTCCGGATACTCCGCGGTCTGGGGGCCATCCAGCCGGGGGTGAACCGCTGCAAACTCATCACCAGAAAAGACTTCGAAACTTTGTTCACCGATTGCACCAATGCCAGGTGAGATACTCATTTTTTAGCTTACTCTTCCCTCTTTGCCCTCTTCTGCATGTTTCATCAACAGCATCCAACTTTGTAGAGTGCCTTAACTAGATTGCCTCCACTCTTCAGGCTGTAAGTCGGTGGGGAAAGGGGACTAGAAGGACTCATTAATTGTTCTTCCCTTCTGGTCTCCCCGCTCAGTGGCAGGGCATGGGTCTAAGTCCCGCACAAACTTCAGTTTTCTGTCCTCTACTGAAACTTTTCAGCTTTTCGTCCATATCTTGCATGGCTTTTTTGGCTGCTTGTGGTTGTTAATTTCTCTATGTGGTTTTCATTCCTCTTCTGTGGCCATACGGGTCGGATAGGTTTTCTCCTGAACACAGACACCATGGGCTTTCCGGGGGGGGGGGGGGGGCGCGGAGAAGGCTGGCAGAGCTGTAAACTGGGCTCCTAAATTGGCAATCCAGAATACAGCATTTGGGGGAGGCAGAGGGTCTGAAATTTAGAATCCAACCCAGAGGGTGATTCTTTTCCCATCCTGTGTGTTTGTTGTGAGAGTGCACGGCGGCGTGTGTGATGGTGGTGATGGTGATGGTGTGTTTATGAGTGTCTGTGTATGAAAGAGAGCAGAGACAGACACACACAGAGCGCAAGAGAGCGCGCTAGAGAGAACGCGTGTGTGTGAGCCAATGCAGATGCCTGCTGGGCAAAGCTCCCCGGTTCAGGATACAGGAAAGTCGATGGATCCCATTAAAAAAAAAAAAAAAAAAAAAAAAAAAAAAAAGAATGACAACAGATGTCACTTTCCTGGGGTCGTCTCTTTTGGGTCATCCGCACAGGGCAATGTGGGGAATGAAACGCTGAGTCTGGGAACTGGTTGAGGGTTGAAGTAGAAGTTGGAGAGGATGTTTCCAGCTCTTCCCCACCGCCAGGCAAACAGTTGGAAGGATCCTATTCCCCCACAGAGAGGATTCCTTAAATGATGATGATGACCAGCTTCTCTGGTTGTAAGTGTACCTTCTTCATATGACAGCTTAGAAGTACATTGTATAACAAATGTCTATTCGCATATGCCCATCAGCAAATTGTATTCAGTATTTTCCGAGTTTAAAAAAAGAAAGTGAAGTAAACTATACTCAAGAGTATTTGACTTTTTAAAGACCTGTGAATTAGTCCTCTTAGTGTTTTTATTCCATCTCTGGGCTGGTAATCATGTTGTTAAGCATGTACACATTTGGCATACAAACCAAGAAATCATCACTGGGTTAAAGAGAGCAAAGGGATTTGTTGTAAAACAGCACTACTGTTGATCATTTTGCAGAAAACTTCTGCAGAGGTGGACTTTCTCACAGGGCAACTTTAAATCATAAGAGCCCTGGGTTTACCAACTAAAACTAACTGAATTGTCACATCTGTTGTAAAATCCAAATTACTATGTATTGTTGAAGTTTACTGACGACTTGTAGACAACTGTTGCTGACTGCTACAATAAAGTAATGCTACAGAACTTACAAGGGAACCTTTCTTCCCCCACTTTAAGCAGTGTTCTCCTGTGTTCTAGCAATTAAACAGAAACCTCTTTTATGAGAACTTCTAGGTGATTCATATCTGGGGCTTATAAACCTGGTTTATTAGATCAAATTTTCTAAAGGTAGATAGATGGCCTTAAAACACAAAGAATAACTGTTCCCTCAATAAAATAAGCAATTATAAGTTTTAAGAGTAGAAAGGAAATTTTATTTTGACCACAAAGCACTGTACTAACATATAAACTCAGAAAATTACCAGGGACTTAAGATGAAAGTCATCTAGTTCATTTGCTGCCATTTAAAAAGACACATTTAAACAATTGCAGACATGAAAACCTATCTCCCCCACCTCCACTCTCACTCCTCTCCTTCCCTTCCCTCTTCTTTCTTACAAATACCCATTCTTAAAGTGGAACAATTATTATATGCAAGAAATTTGCCCTACTTCAATAATTAATTTACACATCCTTGAGCAAAATCTATGACTTTCATTTAAAAATAAATAGATTAGTATTTTAATGTGACTTTGATACTTCCTCTGTAAATAGAAAGTTTTCTTTAATTAATTTATACTACAGCTACTTACTGAAGGGAAAAATGATAGATTACTCTGTATCAAGAAGCAGGTGTTCTTATACTATTTTTGGACCCTAATATATGATGTGTTTTTAGGTTATTATTTAATTCAGTTAAGTTTTATTTACTCCTTATCACAGCATTGGCAGTGCTAACTTTTTTGAGGGCTTAAATTGCTTTTGTATATGTATATGCATGTATACAGGTGATAGGGAAATATTAAAAACATAAGAAGAAATATGTATGAGATATGATGCCTGTGTCTCCTTTTGCATTTATTTGTTTATGGGGATGTTATTTATTTACGTGCATTGTATATGAGTGACAAGTGTTACAATATATAATTGTAAAAATTTATGAAATATATTCTATGAATGCAGCCCATGAATGGAGATTAGGAAAACTACTAGAAACACATCTATAATGCAATTTCTAGATAGTAAAAAAAAAAAAAACAAAACAAACAAAAAACAAAACAAAAAAAAACAACCACAATATCTGGGAAAACTCTAATTAATGATAAAATAACATTACCCAATTTTATCAAAGCAAAATGCCCTCATAACCATGTTGTTAAATATTGGTTTATTTAGATCAACATTATTTCTATGACTTTTCTAGTCTGTGAAAAGAAAGGTGAGGGATGTAAATATGAATGGGGCCCAAGAGAGACAAAATAAGGTAGATGAGACATGAAGCCAGTAAGAAAAAAGAGATATAGGATATGAGCAGGATGATGCTATGAGAGGAGGTAAAAGATGAATCAGAAGAGCTTATAGAGATGCCTAAAAACATGAGCGATGAATCAATGGAGACTTGGCTAACGAAGATTGTCACTGAGGACTCAAGACTTCTTAGCTCTTTTGCTTAAAGGGGAAAATGCAAGGAAAGAGTATATATATGTTCAGTGAGTAGAAACTCTTATATGCTATTTTTATTTGAGAAAAAAATTCATCCTTATATCCTGATGAATAAATTCCCATAATGTATTGTTCAGTTGAAGGCCTATTTGTAATGGTGTCATTGGTAATTTTCTTTTCCTACACACTAAACATTTCTTCCTCTCTGTGTCAGTTAACTGGGGAAGAGTATAAGTCCTGACTTAGGGTATTCTAATTTGGAATGCTTCCTACACTATTCCAGAAGACACAAAATGGACCATTTTCAAATTGGTCACTTTCAAAGACCTTAATGTATTGCCACTAAGTGACATTTTGATTCAGCTCAGGACACATATTTATTTATGTGCACTGCCGAAAAGTGAATGAATAAAATACATACATGATTGTTTCTTTTACAGTACTGAGAGTCATAAGAACTCTATCAGTGGTTTATATTAATTATTTTGTTATTAGCTAATTTTCAAAATATTCCAAGTTGTCTTCCCAGAAAAGTATTTGGAAAATAATACTTGCCTCAGCTACTAGAGAATAGTAAGACTAAAAAAACTTCTTGACTATACATTGTTCTATTAAATAAACCAAGCTTTACATCACTGCAGTTCCAAAGGACTATACAATATTTTTCCTGGTTACTTTTTTACTTCAGAAACTAATTGTATGGAGATTACTTTGAGGACTATTAAGAAAATGATGAGGAAAAGAACTAAAACAAAGTTATCTTGTTTTAGATTTTTTTTTTTTTTTTGGCAGATGAGTCACCGTGTTTTTTTTTTTTCATTTCTTGTGCAACAAAACTTGGAGTTTTTGTTTTGTTTTGTTTGTTTGTTTTTTGTTTTTTTTTTAACGTTTATTTATTTTTTTGGGACAGAGAGAGACAGAGGATGAACGGGGGAGGGGCAGAGAGAGAGGGAGACACAGAATCAGAAACAGGCTCCAGGCTCTGAGCCATCAGCCCAGAGCCCGACGCGGGGCTCGAACTCACGGACCGCGAGATCGTGACCTGGCTGAAGTCGGACGCTTAACCGACTGCGCCACCCAGGCGCACCAAAACTTGGAGTTTTTAATATCAGAGCAGGCAGATTCAGAAAGCAAATGTCTAAAAATCTCACTCCCATGCAATGAATTTTCCTTTCTAAATTCTTCAAAGTTTAATATAGCAGTAAAATATTAAATTAAAATTGATATTCAGTAAATGTGAAAAATCAGCACGTTTTGGTGTTATCTATTTTTATCTACCTTTTACCTATGTAAAAGTAACATTGTTAAATTTCATCAGCATTTACTTTCATTTGGGGATCAACTGATTAAATGTTATTCAGTCATTTATATAGTTAAATGAATGCTTGGAGAAACAAGAATGTATGATTAAGAAAACATTTTAACATATTTGGAGACATGACTCAACATATATTCAAAAGAATAAAATTCAGTTTTTATATTAAAAATTTAAATGATCCAATTGTAGTTAATTGTTATTTTGACTGTGTGAACAAAGCATAAATGGGCATCCATGTTAGAATAACTTTATGTGAATTATGACTTTAAAATAATTTAAAACTACTTTCAAATACAATAAATGCAATTATTGTAAATACTCAATGATTTTGGCTTTGTATTCACACTCAATGAATATAATTCATAATCTACACAGAATAACAATTTACTTTGAAAATTGATGTTTTCATTCATAAGAAAGTTATGCAAAACCAGATTTTTGAAGAACTTGCATCACTTTCCTGGGCTAATATTTTGAATGACTTAACATTTGCAGAAATAATAAAAATGTTTTAGAAGTTAATCTGGGTAGTAAATACAAACTATTTCATGGGCTAATGAGAGGATAGTCAGATTGTCTATTAACAGCAGTCAAATAGTTGTCAATGATCTTTTATTAGAAGAATGATTCAAGATTATAATTAAAGCAATTTAGTCATGTGCCAGTGTACATAACTTCCACATGTACATTTATTTTAAATGTACAGTTCTGCATAACTAACAATTTTTGTATTTA